TGAGGAGGAAACAAATATTTATTGATTATCATTGATGAATATAGTCGTTTCCCTTTGCTTTTGTGTGTTGAGACATGCTCACTACAACTGTATTGACTTACTTAAGTAAATTATTTTGTATATTTGGTATACCAAGTTATATATACTCTGATGGAGAACCTAGTTTTATGTCGGAGGAGTTAAGGAGATTTTTTCAAGAGAAAGGAATAGCTGCTAGTAGATCTACTACGTACAACCCATGGGGAAATGGTCAAATGGAGAGACTAAACAGAACTCTGTTGAGGATAATCAACTCAGCCTTAAAATCAAGGTTTACCTGTGCATTAATGGGAAACTGTTTTATCTGATCCTCTCCGCTCAATTCATTCCATACTGTGTACAACCACAAGTTGTACTCCTTATGAATTGATGTTTTCTTATCTGAGAAAATCTATCTCTGGAAGATCTGTTCCTGTGGGGTTGATGATGGAAAAGTGCTTATCAAAAACTATGTTCAGAACAAGTAGTAAGAGCCTACTGTACGAAAAGTTGAGTTGATTCAGGCAAATCTCGATTACACTCTTGTTAGGTTACTAAATGAAAAAGAAAGTAGTGTTTTGCTATGTTACCTTGCTCCTGCTGGGGAGGGGGACAACATTCTCCAAATTTGAATTGGTTACAATAGTCTCAAATAGCCATATACTGGATTTGAATGGAAATAACATACCAAAATCAGAAGGACTTGAACCAGGAATCTTTAAATCCCATAGCCCAAACACTGCAAAAAGGCGCCCTTCCTCTTTAGGTGCTCTAAACATATTACTAAAGAACCTAAATGACTTTGGGATTGAACAATGAAAGAAAAAAAAATAATTTGATTCTGTTTTTAATTTGAAAATGGATTTTTCTTCTTTTGCCAAAATAAAGTATTCCAAATTTACATTGTAAAAAAAAAAAAAAAAAAAAAAAAATTAATATGCAAATCTCTAGCATATAAATACCAGTTGATACAGCTGGAGGTTAAACTAGTCCTGACCTTAACAAAACTACTAATAGAGAAATAGTAGTGAATATTTTTACTTGATTACTGTTTGGAACATCCATTTTTTCAAAACTTTTCAGCCCCATCTTGTGCATATCTGACAAGCCTTTTATAAGCAATGTAAACTTATTCACTTATGTTTTGAGAATGATATGAAGACATCAAACAAAATTAACCAAATTTTCTTGATAGTTAATTCAACAAGACTGATAATGTCTTTTTTTAATTATTGGAATAAATCTTGATGAGATTTAAAACTAAAAAAAAACTGCTGCTACAGTTTTTATACTTCAAAGAAATTAGGCTATATTCAAAATTTGGTTCATTTTAAATAGTATCAGTAAAAAGTGAATGCAAGCACCTCTGTGAAAGAGGAAAAATTTAATGATATTTTGAACAGTAAATATTTTTAGCTTAAAAATTATATTTTTATGATGCGAAAGTTATTTTTGTATAAATGCATCGACTTGGGTTTTATTCACTTTTACACCATAAGAAAGCAATTAACCAAATGAACATCAGAACAATTTTAATACAAAAAAATAAAAATAAATATGAATTTGCTTTTTTTCTAAATAAGTTAGGAAAAAAAAAAGAAAAAATACAGTGAACCCTTTTTGTTTTTATCTTTCTTCACAGACAAAGGTTTTTCTCATTATCATAATATTGTTGTTAGCTTTTTGACTTGTAATTTGCACATGGCTTATTTACAACAAACGCTCACTTTAAATGTTTTATGTGACTTGCTCTGGGGTTCAATCATCAACCCTCAGAAATCTACCGGTTGTAAAAAGTTAACTTTGTTTTTGTGAGCTTGCATATTATTTTCATCTTTTTTTAAAATTAAATGCATAGTATTTATTTGCAAGAGATGATATTGTCAAAAATAATATTTAAGAAAAAAAAAAAAAAAAATGACTGAGAATGGATTTTACACAAGAATAAAGTTTTATAAATAAAAAATAATCAGATTTCATGGGTTGGGCTTAAAAAAAGAAATTTTGTTCAATATTGTTTTGAGGTTTGAAGCAGATCAATAAGTGTACAAGTTATTTTTAATTAGAACCGTTCACAACAGCCATGATTCAAAATATATTGATATTGTTACTCATGAGAGATTTGTCTACATCAAATGTTAAACCAGGAATAAATTCTTTGCCTGATTTGTACAATGTGAAATGTTCTTAACAACCTCTAAAAATATCAAAATCTTTCAAAGAATGGTGATGGGGTAACCAGTTTGAGATTGGCTACAAATGATAGTTTGTTTGCAATTGGTGATAAAGTGAAAAATAATCCTCTGAAAAAGTTAATGTAAGGGATAAAGATGTATAAGTACCAAGTATTCCATAGTCATTGTCTTCAAAGTGCGAGAAAAAAATTGGTATCTACAAAAAAGAATCCAAACGTCGACATGTCATGAACCAAATAACAAGGAAAAAAAAAAAAAATTCCGTTATGTGAATGGCAAAGTGTTGAGAGCATGAAACTTGGACTTAAACGAATGAAAATCATCTTTCATACAGGATTATTTCTGGGTAAATGAAATGGACGAAAATTTGGGATCAATGATATGTAATAGAAATGTATTTGTTTTTTGAAGTGACTGTTGAGAAATGATATTAAAAAAAAGTTGCTTAACATTTCTCACAAAACCCCAAAAACTGTTAAATGATTAACCGCCAAAACCTTGCTAATGGCACAAGGTTTTTAATGTTAATGCCAAAACCACACTATTTGTCATTTAGATATGCAGACATTTTTCATGTACATATAGACAGCCCCAGGCAATAAGCTTTTTTTTTTCTGCAAATCTTTTGAATTTTAAGTTTAATTCTGTTTATTTTAAAGGATTTCAACACAATATTTATGAATCAAGTTGTAATATCCTTAACATAAATAATATAAGATATATAGTGTGTGCACACACAGACTACATTTATATATATATATATATATATATATATATATATATATATATTAGTGTCCCACCCAAAAAAAAAACGTATACACACTTTAACAGCTGATAGCTTAATTGATTTTTTTTTCTTTCAGGTTAAATCCATTAGAATTAATTCAAGTAAGCTTTGAACAAAGGAAATTCATTCTAAAAAGCTACTGCAAGTGTGAAAATGCAGTTGAAGTGCAAAGACAGTTTAGGAGGGAGTTTAAAATAGATCCATCAGTGCAACTTACCATTACTTGAATTAAAGATAAGTTCGAAGCTGATGGGACTATTCAGATTGTTCATTAGAAGTGTTCTGGAAGACCATGAACATCAACAAGCCCCACAAAGCAAGAAAGGGTACTGGGAACATATTACAATAATCCAAGAAAATGTGTGCAGCAACAGAGTCGTGAGGTAGGTATTTCAAAATCATCTGTCCAACGCATTTTGAAGTGCTGTCAATGGAAAAGTTACATTCCAAGATTAGTCCATCTTATTAATGACGATGATCCAGGCCAAAGAGTGGAGTATTGTGAGTGGTACTTGGCATGTGTAGATGATGCACACTTTCCAACAAAGATTGTGTGAAGTGATGAAGCCAGATTCAAATTAAATGGTTCAATTAAGAGTCACAATTGCAACTACTGAGGACTTGAGAATCTGCATGTTATGGTGGAACACCATGTTAATTTAGCAGGAGTTACAATGTGGTGCAGTTTGTCATCAAGGGGATTAATTAAACCATTCTTTTTAGATGCTACTCTGATTGGCCCCGTTCACTTGAAATTGCTGAACAGCCTGTCATGCCAAGCGTTAGAAGGACTTTGAAGATGAGGAGTTTTATTTTCAACAAGATGGGGCACCACCATCATTATGTTAGACCCTACCTTGATGAGATCTTGCCAAACAGGTGGATTGGACAAAGGTGTTTCATACAATACCATCAGCATTCACCAACCCTCGCACCACTAAACCTTTTTTTTCATGCGGATACTTAAAAGACAAAGGCTATGCTATGAAACCTGCAACAGTCGCTGAAATGAGAGCAGCCATTGAATGAGAATGCACAAAAATACCAAATGAAATGTTTGCAATTCCACTGCTTCCTGTTGTCAGCAGTGCCTGGACCAGAAAAGACATCAGTTTGAAAACAGGCATTGACAAAACAATAAAATAATGTCTGTAGATTCTAGCAAATTTTGAAAATTAAATGTATTTTAATAAAGACTGACTTTAAATAATTATAAAGTGTGTATACATTTTTTGGAACACCCTGTGTGTGTGTATATATATATATATATATATATATATATATATATATATATATATATATATATATATATATATAGGCAGAAATGTATGAAACAATGGAAATAGTTTTCATGACATGTTTCATCCTTTAGGATTTCATTAGACTAAATTTGTTACATTTAATGAAGTCCAAAAGGATGAAATGAGTCACACAAAAACCTTTACCAATGTCATACACTCCCCTCCTCCAAATATTGTTCTTAATATATAAAAATTTATATATCATTATCTCATCATATATGTGTGTGTCTATGTATGGCTTCTGATAGCAAAACATTTCCCAATAATTTTCATTTGCTTTGCTTTTTTGTAAGCATTCTGTCAATCATATATAGTTTTGAGAACAGTTTGGTGGTATAGTGCATAGATTGGTGTGAAGCAGAAGGACTGACTAATGAGCTAAGGACTTAAATACCACTTGTGAACCCAAATTCCAACCAATGTTGTTCTCTTGTGAAATAGAATTGGTCTTTGCTAGAAGTTCTTCATCACCATTCATTCCAACAACAACAACAGTTTGTTCACACCAGACCTAGAGTCCATTACCCTCCCCCACATGATGATATTTCATATATAAATAATAGTTTTCTTTATCACCTTTGATTAGTTGGGGAAATGGAATTGCCTTTGTAAGGCTAGCAGCTTTGACTCCCCCAGCTAAGGTCAAGCTAAGCTTTCAAGTCATCAGTGAAGCAATTTCAGAGATTTAATGATATTTACTGTTAGTCAGTGTGGCTCCATTTGTTAAAAAATTTACAGATGCCAATTGAGCTTCATCCATGTCCAACATGCCACAAACTGGTGATCCATCCTAAAGTCAGAGCAGAAAAAAGAAGAAAAGACAAAATGTCAATAATAGAAATTTAATTTCCTGTCACATAAAATTGAATCCTATTATAATTATGCTTGCCCCCGCCCCCTCCGTTAGGTCACATGCAGTTACAACCTGCCAATACCTCATAAATAATGGACTATTCTGTGTTTTGATTATGTAGAAAGAGGGGTAAAGACATTATTTGGTATAAGTGCGAAAATGAAAGAAAGAAGGGAAGATAGAATTGTTTAATATCTCCTACCAATATTCATAAATAATAGACTATTCCATTTTGATAAACAAAACACATACAAGAGCCACTACTTGGGTTCAGTGAGAAAATGAATAAAAGAAAGAAGGAAGGGAAGCTAGAAGTGTTTAATGTCTACTTCAGTGAAATGAAAAAGTTGTCAATTTCAAATCTTTTCATTTGTACTTCCTTACTTCTAAAAATAATGACCAGCATTCATATTTATGATTGTTATTGCAATATTTTGTTAAAGTTGTTAAGCTCAAATATTTAACAATATGACAGGGGAATTTCTACAAATATTTTATTCTCCTAGAACTTGCCATGAGCTTACTCAATCATTAACTTAAGAATTAAGATTCATCAGAATATCAAAATTGGAAAACTGAAAAAAGGGAGTTGCAGTAGATTACACAGACCAGCAGAGTTGTATTTGAGATGAGAAAGAGAAAGTGTTTTGTTTAGATGATAGTGTAACCCTACTGTTAAAAGCCACAATCTTCTCTTGAAAAATGCCATGTATGATATTGGAACAATAATGTAGAGGGAGGCACGGTGAAGTAATGGATAGCGGCTCGAATTGAAGAATCAGAGAACCAAGTTTGAATTCCAGTCAAATCCATTACATTAACTTATGTGCTAATACCCTTAGGAAAGGTATGAATCCTCTTCTCCCCACCAGCTATGGGTAAATAGAAGGACAGATCAGGTTCTGTAGCCCTGGATGGCAACTGGTCTGCCACAGAAAGAAGTGGCAACTTACTGTGGGAAGAAATCTGCCTCATTAGTATCGAAAGATACTACATGATCGCCCAAGTGTGTATCATGCACGGCATATAACTGACTGACTGAAGCAGGGTGGAGTAATGGATAGCAGCTCAGATTGAGGAATTGGAGAGTTAAATTTGAATTCCAGTAGAGTCCATTACATTCACTTACTTGTTAATACCCTTGTGTAAGGTATGAATCCATCTCTTCTCACAGCTATGGGTAAATAACAGGACAGGTTCAGTCCTATAGCCTTGGTCTAAGAGAAGGAGGAACTTTGAATTCAAACCAACCTAGAGAGGGCTGTGCTCCATCAGGCTATTTTGTTCAAGACACCACTGCTGCTGCAGTAGATATGGTGCCTCTATGATTCTAATGTGTTATGAGATTCATGATGATAATGATGATGAAGATGAATGTAGAGAGAAGTTAATCGAATCTGTAAATCATTTGGTAAGATTTTGGTTAATCTTGTTAGCAGTATATTAACACCTCTATGGGTTATTTAATTCTGAAATCTAAATATTTCAACTACAGATAAAATTTATTGTTGGTAATTTTAATATAAAATGTATTGTTGGTAATTCTACTATAAAACTTATTGTTGGTCATTTTGCTATAAAATTGTATTGTTGGTATTTTTTTTTATATAATAAATGTTGCTGGTATTCCATAGTTTCATAATGTTTTGTTTTGGGTTTTAACTATTTGCCCATAAATGGGACCCTAACAGGTGCTACCACCTTGGGTCAGGGTGGACCTAGGAACAACAGCAATTAAGAGGTGGTTCCATGCTCTCCAAAACATCCAATCTCCCAATCAGAGATTGCCAGATGTAGTTTATTATCATACTCAGGACTAATTTGGTAAGTGAATGAAAAGAAACCTATTTGAGATGACAACTGTAGTAGCCTTTTAATCATGAAGTGACTTGTACAAGCTGAATTATAGAAATTTGCTTACTAATTTTTAATTCAAGCAAGCTTACCTTGTAACTAACAGTAGCCAACTGAAAATATATTGATCTTGATAATCATCTCACTGTCAAACCAAGGCATAATTAAGAGGGAAGCTTGGGGCATAGCAATTTTAAAGGTAAATAAAATATTTCAATCCCAGTTAAATCAGACATTTATTTCTTGCAAATTTTGAGGTAGAAAAAAAATGGCTGACAACTACAATTCATGTCATTTCCATTCTTGGTGAGATGTGAGAAGAATGGCTGACATCATTCAAATTGGAAATTTTAGAAGGTGCAATTCCAAAGAAAGGTGGGGAATCTTATCCCCTTGTCAAACTACATCCAGACATCAGATAATGCACTGATTTTGCATGTCTTGCCAGACTGGTGTAGGGTCATCAACTAGTATTATGTATAGATTATTAAAGCCAATATGCTTATTTACTGACCTTTGACATTTTGGTCATGCTAAAATTAGGCAATGTTTATTCACAATTCAACCTGCTTTTATTGTTTCAAAAGAAATCCTTAATTCTGTTGATTGTAAATATTATTATTATTTAGTTAGACATTTTATTGGTGCTTTTATTGACAAAAAGACAGAATTAATTGATGTAAACCAAACCTCAAAAATGAAACATTTAGCTTTTCAGTCATTTGGGTGACATGAATTGCCATAAAAAGTACAAATTTCAGTTTTTCGCCAACTGAAATTGTACAAGTAAAATTAATGGTAAATTAAAATACAAAGTTCAAAAAAGGTTTTGAAAGCAAAAAACATTTTATAAATACCTCATCATGTTTTGGTGACAGTTTAAATTCTGATGGACCATCTTTTTTGATGGAGTAGAAACGTCCACCATCTCCTCGTATTCGGTTCATGGCATGTCGATGCCTGGATTCATGTAAATATTTCTAAAATGGCAATAAATACAAATAGATGAGACTTAGTTACAGCAAAAAAAAAAAAAAATGAATAGAAATTGACATGCAAAAAAAGAAAAAAAAAATTTCTGTTGTATTAGTGATATCTATAAAACTACCAATTAATTTTGTAGGAAATCCAACATGTAAATTTCTCTAGGCCATTTCATTAGTTTTAAAGAAATTAATTAACAACTTTTTTAATCAGATAGTTTTTAAGTTTTCAAAATGAGAAAAATCAAGGCAATTTATTTAATTCTTTTACAAAACCATGTGCAAATATTTGGTTTTTAGTCAAGGGACAGATGAAAATGTATTTTATTAAAATTAAAAGTTCCCTCTTTTTGCTGATCCATTTGTTTGTATCCTTTCATCTTTATCTGCTATATTAAAAGTGGATAAGGAAAATAAATAGTCAACAAATTATGATAGTTTTGATTAAAAAAAAAAAAAAAAAAAAACCTCTTTAAAAAGAAGACCATTGCTAAAACAACAAACTAATATTTTGATTTAATTGATTTTTTTTCTTTGGGTTGCATTTTCAGAATGAAAATTTGCATGCTCCTCACCAAATTTTATGTGATAAAAAACAAAAAAAAAAGCAGAGAGATAACTGCGGGTTCAAAGTCAGAACATCATTAATACCTCCTCTCCACCAATTTAATTTGCAGACTCTTGTTACTATATTCTTAATGCAATGCAGAAATATCACAGTGATAAAATCAGTCAATAATTATTTATAACTATTTATACTGGTGCTCATATTCATGTTCTAGAATAGATTAAATTGTTTTGTTTTTTTTGGAAGTGGTTTTCAAAAATGGAATGTAGGAATCAAATGCAAACATAAAAATATTTTGTTTCATTTGTAAGTATTCATTTTAAAATGACATCCAAGATTGAAGATAATGAAGTAGCAAGTAACAGGTTTTTAATGAAACAAAATCCCTGGATTGCACATATTGGGATCAACAGAAATGTTTGTGCAATCAACACTCATTGTACCCAACCTACCGAGTCAGTCTGCCAATAGGATTCACGCTAGATACTGGTGTTCAATTCTTATACAAGGTTTTGGAATGATATATTGGAATGACTGTGATAAATTTGTGCAAAGTGCCTGCATTGAATTTCACATGAAGCTCAGCAAATCTGATAGAAACCTTGAAATACTCCATCAGGCCTTTCATGAAACTTTCTTTAAGTTGTAAGCAGGGTTTTTTTGAGAGATGTGTATTTCAAGGAAGGTTAAATTCTGGTCAAAGATGGTGAGCGTTTAAGGTGACCAAAAATTGGCAAAATATCAGAAAATGTGTGAGAAAAACATTCATGAATTCAACCATGAAGACTGATAAACAACCAGTCAGTGCTCTGGTACAGGTTATAGAGTCTTGCCAGAAGATCCTAGTCTGGGAACTTTCTGGTACCATTGCATGCATGCACACACACACATTTTCCCCATTTGTAATTTTTATGATGATACTTTTTTCTACTCTATTGAAAGATAATATTAGAAAAAGTTCTGGAGGGTTAAATTGTGAATGGGTATTTTTTTTATGAGCATTTGATCAAACATTCATTTTTTTTCCTTTTCTTTTCCACAAAAGTACACAGAAGACAACACAAGCTGTGAAAATAAATTTACCTTTCGTTCTTTTCTCAATTTTCCTTCAGCTTCAAGTTTTGCTCTTGCCTGACGCCGTTTTAAAATTCTGTGATATTGTTTGGCATTAACGTATAAAGGTTCCTCTTCCAGTAAATCTGTTCCAGGAATTGGTATTCGCTGGATTGTAGTAGCTGTACTTGAACTGGGGGATGCATCCTCAGGAACCATCTAAGAAACAATCATTTAGAATCATTACTATTCATATTTAGAAATCATTTCTTTGAATCAAACCGAAAAGGACTTTGGATATTATTGATATTTTCTTTTAGTATTTTGCAAAAGAAGTGTCACAAATTTGACATTAAACAAATCAATAACAACATTCAATTCAGTGCTTTACATACTGGCATGAAAAGTTGGTTACAGATGATTTCATTAAACTAAAAGTCTAGATGCAGAATGAAGTAAAAGCAAAAAACAAAAATGACTCAAGTAGAAAACAAATACGAGTAGGTGCTGAAAAGTTTTCAGCCTAATCCACTTTCCAAAAATCAGTATTCTGATGTTTGGCCATTGAAATACTAATTTTTGGAGCAAGAACTTTTCAGCATACCCACCCCCAACATATTTGACAAAACCTAATTAGATCTCTCTCTCTCATACACTAATTAGTTTCTCATTAATGATTAGTAGTCCTGTGTATGATGATAAACTACATCTGGTAACAAGGACTGATCGGGATATTAGAAGTTTTAATTGCTGTTGCTTTCAGGTCCACCCTAACCTGAGGTGGTAGCACCTGTTAGGGTCTCAGCTATGGGTAAAGAGTAAACCCCCAAACAAAACACTTTTGTAATCACCATTAGACTCATCCAACTCTTTCCAAATCCTCTGCAACGGTTTGGTTTGGTTTGTTTTGATTTTACAGCATATCAACCTCAATAGGTTATTTAATGCCAACAAAATTTTTATTGTTAGTAATATTTTTTTAAAAAATCTATTTCTGGTAATATTTTTTCCTTCAAAAAATCTTTTCTGGTAATAATTTTCTTTCAAATATATAATATTTTTCTTTTTTTTCTTTCAAAAAATGTATAGCAAATATATATTTTTTTTTGTTTTTTTAACCAAAAATATATTGCTGGTAATAATTTTTTTTTACAAAGTACTTCTGGTATTAAAACCTATTTTTACACTTTCATAGTGTCTTGATCCCAGTTACAATTCCATTGAATAATGTTTTGCATCTTGATTATGTATTATAAATTATGAATTTTTACATGTCCAATTTTTTATTTTATTTATTAGGGTGAAGTGTCCATCATTTCTATATACTTCTGACTATTAGCGTTTTGTTTGTTGTTACATTTTGTTCTTTGAACTTCTTTTGTTTCTACTTGATCGATTTTGTTCCCTTAGTTTTACCATTCAGTTCTTTTAATGAACTTTGTCTAGATGATGATCTTTCCTTTGTTTGTGATGGGCTAGAGTTTTGTTCCTCTATGTTCATTTTCCTTGGTTCTTCAATAGCTGTTTTGTTATTTTTGTTTTTTGTATCTTTTCATTCTCTTGAGAATGTGTCAATGTTTCTATTTCTTGGATTTTATTTTTTTTGTTTTGATTTTTCGGGTCTAATAGTTTTGTAGATGTAGAGTCATTTTTGTTTGTGGTTGATGGTATAGGGTTTGTTTTGTCTATGGTAGTTTGCTTTGTGCCTGATAAACTACCTTTTAGAAGTTCAATTAAACCCTTTAGTTCATTGATAAGAGTTATCAGATCTTGGTTTCTTAATATATTGTTTTTTTGGATATTTATTTGTTGATTGGTTATTTTCATAATATTAGCATAAGACACTTGGAGTGAATTTGATTCTACCTGTTTCCTGGCTTCTTGAAAAGAGATGTTTTGTGTGCATTTCCTTCTAATTACTTCTTCCTCTTTTTTCCGAATATTACACTCTTTGGAGTCTGCTGTGTGCTTTCCATTACAGTTTGGACATGAAAGAGGCCTTACACAAGGTGACTGCTGTTCTAGTACAACTATTTTGCAGATGTCCAAATTTTTGACATTTATGGCATCTATGAAGATTTGGGATGTAAGACCCTACCTTGGTTATTGAGTACCCTATCTTTATCTCTTTTGTCAGAATTGGTTTGTTAAATGTCAGAATGTATATATTTGTATTTATTACTTTATCATTTTTTTTTAATTTGAATTCTTTTTGCATTTGTTATTCCTTGTTTTTTTTTTTTTAGAGTCATCATTTTCAATTTCTGTTGGTGTACAAAATGATAGTTCTGGGCTTTTTATTACACCTTTAGCTGAATTCAGAAATTGATGGGGGTAAGCTTTTACATTTATGTTGCTAATCTGCTTGATTTTTAGTAGTCTTTCTGCGTCTTTTTTAGTTTTCACTTGTATTAATAGCGCATTGTTTTTCTTTATTTTTTTAATGGATTGCGGATTTTATCATTTCAGAAATCACCTTTTACAACATAAAAGGAGATGCTTTTGTAATATCACCCTCTACTGCTTCTACAACGATAAATGTTGGAAAATGTTTATTTTCTATTTCATTTTCACTTTCTGTTTCTGAGAAATCATATTGTCTCTTGGTTTGTTTGTGAGAGGTAGCCATCTACTTTTGCTTTTTGAATTCACTATCTGTGCTCCCCAACCACCTCGGAGTTCCTTAAGGGACACTATCAGGGGGAAATCATCCCATTTGCCCTGATCTGCCAGAGCTACACAGACAGTATGGTAGTGATGAGAGTGGATACAAGCACCTGCACTCCCCCACCATATCTACCCAAGTATAGAATGATGTTAGGTTCCACAGCCATGTCAGATCTGTTATCTCTTGTCCCAACTAACCCTTGCCACTACGTGACTAGCCGATTGGAATGGATTGGGCAATTCCATCCGCCCATCTATCCCATGTAGGGACTGAAGAGACGTGTTGTGAAAACTCCTGATCATCTTATACCCAATCGAGAGTCACTCAGTCACCAGGACACCGCCCCCAGGAATCACAGGTCGCCACCTATGGCAAACAAGTGGCCCCATTGAAGGGAATTTTAATTTTTGTACATTTTTTATGAATGTGGTTTTTAAATACTGCAATTGGTATTGCTGGCATTATAATTGTTACAAAAAAACCCATTCTTACACTTTCTCAGTAATCATTCTCCAGTTTGAGGGAGGGGGAAAGCTATTTACCCATAGCTGAGACCCTAATGGGTGCTACCACTCCAGGTCAGGGTGGACCCAAGAATAACAGCAGTTAAGAGGCCATTCCACACTCCTCAAAACCTCCCGAAAAGAGGCCTTGCTGCTGGATGTAGTTTATTGTCATACCCAGGATGACCTCTGCAACACCTAAGATTGACAACCAAACACTCCGAAATGTTCATATTGGAGCTTCCAGTGTGAATGCCAAGCAGTAAAGCATACCATTTCCAAATTTCTGACTGAGTGAATTGTGTTATGGCACTCTTTTTCTCATAGACAGTGCCCAACTGATGATATTATGTATTGTGCAGTTGACAAAATAAAAAAAATAAAACAATGCACATTAAAAATATAAAAATGGCAACAATTTACACATTGCACCCTCTGTGTGTGTGTGTGTGTGTGTGTGTGTGTGTGTACACCACTTTTGGTAGAACTAATCAATCAGAACTGATTGGGAAAACAAAAAATATTAAAAAGCATTGGTAAAAATGTATTTACTTTTTAAATGAAATCAATATTTAGACAATTCTATAATCATCTTAAATTCTTTTTACAGACAAGTGTTTCCATGAACAAGATGGAAGTTAATAAAATAATGAGATTTAATTTGACTTCTTTAATTATACTCAGTTTAAGAAAAAAAAAAAATGTATCATTCATATTGTCATTGATAGAGCTTATCACACCACCTACATCTACTAGAGTCTGAAGTTAATAACTCAGACAGAAGTGTCAAAATAATGTGTTTCTGGTTTTCTTCACATAAAATAAATCTTAATCAACCAATCAGATAAGTTCCTGCTCAAAACCAAAATTCCATTTTCTGATGCTCTGTTACAGTATTTAAAAGTAATGAACTTTAGAAATAGAGACCCAGACTTAGTGCACATTCAACACTCACAAGAGAGAGAGAGAGAGAGAGAGAGAGAGATTTTGCCATCACAATGTTTTTTCAATATTCTTTTTAAAATGCAAACTATATTAACACACATGTATTACTAATTTCAGCACAAAACACAATGTACATAATTACAACGTTTAAATTCCTTCTGTATAAATACAACAGGTCTTGTCTTTTATTCAAAACTACCTTTTCTCCCCCCCCCAATGAAAACTCAAGTGAAAAGCAATAACATTCATCATGTAATAGGTGTAAATAATACATTTATTCTTTTGTATGTCTGATTAGACTTTATTAAACTGCAGTAGTTTTTGTTAAATGTTCACCTAGATAAAGCCTACTTTCCAACAAGGTACATGACAAGGTTGCTAATAAAAGAGAGAGAGAGAGAGAGAAAATGATAGGGGATTTAAGTATCAATTAAAATGTAACCATTTACCATCAATTGAAAATATTTTCTTTGAAAATTAGCAAGAAAATTGATGCTAAAGAATTTGGGGATCAAATACATCATCCCTTGTTTGAATCATGAAGAGAGGAGAGGATAGAGAAACAAATGAAAGCAATTCACTCTTCAGGGTAAAAATTCAGAAAATATTGTCCTGACATTAAAATTGACATGTAATAATGAAAGCAAAACAGTTTTGAAAACTCCAACTGAAAATGAAACTAACTTTATAGTATATTTTATGAAACTTGTATTAAATCTACATATATGTAATATCTCACATATACATAGATTGATATACAGAGCAGCTGGTATTGAATCAAGCTTATCTCACAAGCAATGGACAAGGAGTTCACTAGTTGAACCATTATTGCCGTTCATGATAAATGGTCACATTTTAGATTCTTTGTTAATATACATGAACAAATGCATATGATCCAAACAATTCTGGCTTATTATCTAAGAGACAATACTAAAATCAAAAACTTACCATGACTATGCTATTTGCATTTGGCACTGCTTGTAAAGTACTGTCCACAGGTGATGAAGTATTTGGAGGTAAGGGTGATGATGCAGGTGGGGACTGGCTACTGCTTGTGCTTATCGGTGTACCAGGAGTGGCAGGAGTTGTGCTTGTCAGTTGATTGACAGATTGCAATGTGGAAATTGATGGAACTGTTGGTACTGGACTTGAGCACGCAATGTTCATGCCATTGCCTAATTGGATCACATCTGAAATGATGGGGAAGGAAAAAAAGAAAATAGAAAAAAAAAGTAAAGTGAGCGTTCTTAATAATGAAAATTTGATGGTATTTAAGTATCCCCACTGCCTTCATTTTAGCACAAAATACTTTCAGCATGTACTCAAATGAACTCAACCTTTACATGAAAGATACAAGGTAACTATGTGTGTCTGAAAATTTGAGGGCTGTTTCTTCATGGCAAAACAAGGTAAAATGTACATATAAACATATAGACAAAATTCCATCATTGTACTTCAATACAGCAACTCATAACAATGTTCAAAATGTCCTCTACTTGCTTATACATACACAAGCACCCATTGGATTATTGACTGTCAGAGCCTTTCAAATACTTCCACATGGTAGCAAATGATTCTGCAACCCCCATGATACATTGATGAAGCATCTCTATATTATTAATGTCCGCTGCATAAACCAAAGGATTGAGGTCGGGAGAACATGCAGGCTATGGAAGTGACCCTCCCATAACTATCCATTTCCATAGTAGATGTCAGCCAGTGCATTGTGAACAATATGACTAAAATGTGCTGGTGCCCCATCATGCATGAATCACATGCATCTTTGTATTAGCAGGTGTACATCCTCTAGCAGGTCTAGAAGTGTGTTCGAAATTAAGTTGACAGCTCCTGTAAGACATGCTAGAACATATGAATCCTACCAGACATTTGCTTACAATTACAGCCCATCCATTAATCATAAACTGATGCTGGTGTCTAGTTTGTATTTACCATGGAGATTCCAATCTACCCACAAATGATGGTTGTGTAAATTTGTTATTCCATCTCTTCCAAATTTTGCCTCATTCATAAACAAGACTGGAGAAACAAACACCAGATCGGCAGTTTATACAATAAACTATCGGCAAAAGTTGTCACATGGAGAGATCAGAGAGCAAAAGGCTCTGCACACATTGCAAATGATATGGATACAGGAACTGCCCTTGAAGTACCCTCCATGTGGTACTATAAGATGTATGACATGCTAGGGCCATTGACGTGTACTGATATCTGGATCATTTCTGACAGCCTGTTCTTCATGGTCAGCTATACAAGTGGATCTTGGTCTTCCTTGATCCATAGTTTGTGGTACCACAGATCCTGTCTCAGCAACACAACAATAAAAAGCAGAAAAGGTTGGATGACACAGCTGCCTTCGGTCTGGAAATGCAATCTAGTACAACCTCGCATCCATTACCATTTGTGCAACTGAATGTAAAAATCATATCTGCCTGCTCACAATATAAATATCTTGCCATTGTTAAATGGAACACTTTTCAGTTAACTCATTACCACACACATTAAATGTTGAAGGCAGACTAGCCACAAATGTGCATGAATGAAAAATGTAACAGACTACATGGCAACAGAGTGCATCTACTGTAAACTTTCTTTAAGCTTAGTAACTCAAAAATGAAGAATTTATGGACATATGTTTATATGGTCTTTGTCCTCATTTGGCATGAAGAACCTGACCCAATGTTTGTGAAAGTATTTATATATATATATATATATATATATATATAAAGAATTATTTAGTTGTTCCTCACCATGCAATGCTATGTAAAGTGTCATGCAGATGGCAATCATCAGGCATAAACTGATATAAAAAAAGAGAGACCCATCCTTGAATATGGACAGTGGAACTAGAACAATCTACATCTATAGATTAAATAAAGGGTTCAAAGTTCTCTGAAGGTTACCAATATTGAGGCACCTGAAGAAGGCCAGAGGGCATAATGACTGAAATGATGTGATAACAGCAACAAAAATGAAAACATTGGTCCAAATGTCAATAATGATAACCCCAAATTCAGACAGGTTTGGATGTATTTAGTTTTTGTAAAGCAGTTTATGAGAGAATTTGTTTTTTGATTAAGCTTTTTAGTTTCCAATAACATATATTATACTAAGATCATGTATGCAAATTTCTTGGGTTCTGAAAGCAAATAGAGTAAATACCTAATATGATTTTATCTTTGTCTTGTTGCAAAAAGATACCAAAAAGAAATATTTACTGGAATTTTGGTGTTGCTGCTGCGGCTGTTGTGGCTGCTGTGGTTGTTGTGTTTGTAACCGTTTCAGTAAATCACCAATAATAGGCTGACAAAGAATAAGCTGACCATCTTGGGTTTGTATTAACTGACTGGCCCCAAGCTGAGTGGCTGGAATTAATTGTTGACCAGGTGCCTGCTGGAGCATTATCTAAAAAAGGATAAAATTAGCTTTTATATTGAAGTTATACACACACACACACACACATACATACATATATATATATATATTAGTGAAAAATGAAATCTTGTAAGTGGCTTTTCAGACATTATCAATTATAGTTAAGATAGATCCATATACAAATCTATAAGCCATATACCTCTCCAAAACACACACAATAGCCTTCATATCTTCAGTGCACATTCTAGTTGGCCTAGTATCAGATTAAATATCTATAGCTTCAGATCTACACAGATTTTCACTTTGTGATTTCAAAGCAAACACTTTTTCTATGATCTTTAAAATAACTTCAGTAATTATCATTCAAACCATTTTTAGGATGATTGATCTCTCTTTCTTGCAAATGGGTTAATCTGATAAAAATATTTATCACCATTTTCTGGTTTGTTCTGACAGAGAAAAAGGGATCCCTTATTTTTGTATATGAATTGTATGCCTTCAGAAAATTCGATTGACCAAAACATTGTTTCAGTAAAAAAAAAAAAAAATCTATATTCATGTTGGTGTACAGAAAAACTGGGAAAGATACATTGCACATTCAAAAAAAGAAATGAAAAGTGAAAATAAATGCCATATTGAGAAAGGAAAAATACAAATTTTGTTTCCACACATATTCAATTATTGCAGCGATTTAGCTTGGATAGGCAAGTGATAACTTCTACCATGTCAGTTAAACAGATCAGCTTTTCTCTTCAACCAGCAAGAATATCAACTCTTCCCTACTACACATTTGCTCTTCTTCACATCACAGTGTGAATGTACAGCTGGTAACTAATTGGAACTACTCTGAGGGACACTGTATCCACTAACAGGTGGTCCAGAGCTATTCTAGATAGACAGCAGACAACTACCAAATGGTAGCCCATAACTGTCCTCAACTGACTATTAATATAGGCCCCAGTTTGAAATCAATGTCCACTTTGTTGTCATTTGTTTGCAAAAGTTTACATTCATCTATTATTTTATTCTCTTTTGATCAAGTGGGTGGCAGCCTTTGAAGATCCTATTTCACAGACACCACTGCTTGGTCATGAAAACACAAAAAACTGGAATAAGATCATTTACCATACTCTTCTATATGGGTGTCCCAGTCATGTCATACTAGGCTGTGTAATTTTTTTTTTAATATAAAATATTACTTGCTGCATGTAGTGAATATTCTTAGCATATAAACTGGGGGATTTTGTTATGAAAGTGCATTAATAAAAAAAAATTATATATTACTAAATTTGCAAAAATCATAAAACATTCAAGTACATCAATTTAAAGTATATTTCAGTTACTTCTGTTGACCAACGCTTTTAGAGCATGACCTCAACAAATTCAGAGGAGAATAAAAGAAACAGAAATTGTAAAACAAAACTCAACATTGAAATGAAGATACAAGAGAAAATATGCACTAGTGTGAGAATCAGGGTACACTTTTAATCTTCATCTGATTACCCTAGAGTTGTGAGGTGATAATCCTGCTTAAAGTCTCTTGAATATATAAACTGATAATAAATTAGTCCTTACCTGTTGTGGTTGGATAGGTTGACCAGTATATTGCTGACCAGCAGCAAACATGTCAAGCTGCAAGTAACAATAAGTAAAAATAATTATCAACAAATAAACATTACATTTTGAATTTGTTATCAGTTCAAAATTTTCAAAACTTGTCATGAATCTTTGATCAAATTATACAAAAAAAAAAAAAGTTATTCTGTCAAATTCTTATAAAAAAAATTAAAAATATATATATATATATATATATATATATATATATATATATATATATATATATATAGAGTCTATTAAAATGACAGTGAAAATATTTTAAAGTTGTATTTAAAATTGTAGTTAAAACAAATTCTAACTTAAACATCTTTTAAAATTGTACTTAAATAAAACATATTCTAACCTAAACAACTCTCTCAAAGTACTACCGGCACTTAAATGAATCCAATAAAACACCTACAGTAAAATGAAATTATGATGAAAAGCTAGAAGATGTAGGCCATTGAATGACCCATGTCCTTTGTACATACATGAGAAACTATATATTACTAAGTTTATAAAAAATAAAGTTTACTAAATCAGAGAAATGAATTAGCTATTTTTGCCGTAATTGTCATAAATTTTATTTAAATAATATTCAAATATAAAATTTTTAAATATTGTGACCTGGTAATATACGTACTTGATATGGAAAAATAATTTTACTTACTGTAAGTAATTCTAATACATTTACTTCTTTTAAAAAGAAATATAGTCTATTAAAATTAACAGTGAAAATATTTTAAAGCTGTATTTAAAATTGTAGTTAAATAAAACGAATTCTAACCTAAACACCTCTCTCAAAATACTACAAGCACTTAAAAGAATCCAAGAAAATACCTACAGTAAAATGAAATTAATATGAAAAGCTAGAAGATGTAAGCCATTGAATGACCCATGTCCTTTGTACTTACATCAGAAACTATATATTACTGGATTTATATAAAATTGTCAAAAATTTTACTTAAATATAAATTTAAAAAAAAAAAATTGTTATCTAGCAATAAACATACTTATACTTGATGTGAAAATAATTTTACACACTGTAAATGATTCTAATACATTCACTTGTTTTAAAAAGAAATATAGTATACTAGCAGTAGAGCCCGGCATTGCCCGGGGATATAACAGTAAGAGATAGATCAAGTATCGACCATCATAAAGACTGAAAAATAAAATTGACAAAGATTATTGTTCAAGGTTGACGGACATGCATGTCTTAATTAGTTTTTTTTTTTTACGAATTGGTCAAACCCAAACTCAAACAAAAACATTGTTTTCAATCGTTATGAGTCTATCGATTGAATAGAATTTTATTACAAACAATTGTCTTGTAAATGGAATTTTTAAAGCATTCTGAATGTAAAAATAAAGAAAAAGTGTGTAATACAATAAGAAACACTACCTGCCAAAAAAAAAAAAAAAAAAGTGAAGTTTTGTTGAAATCGGTTGAAAAATGTAGGAAATCTGATCCCATATATAAATGAACACACACACACAAACAACATGGGTTATATAATAAGTTATACTCGATATGATTTGTCAGCCTTTCATTCTGGTGACACAATCGTGTTTTATTGTGTTTTCAAATTGATTTCGTGCAAAAACAATTGTATTTTTCCAATTTTTGGTGCTGTCAGAACCGCCGCAAGGTAATTTTACGCAGTCCTGTGAAGTTTTGTTGAAATCGGTTGAAAATTGTAGGAAATCCGATCCAATATATAAACGTACAGACACACACACAATCTGCGTTTTATAATAAGTAAGATTTAAAATTAAAAGTGAAATTTTATTTAAAATCGTAGTTAAATAAAACGTATTCTAACCTAAACACCCACCAAAATCTTTAAGTATACAAATAGAAAAAAAAAAAAAAATGCCATAAGAATTTTTGCTGTTAACAATAAATTTTAAAACAATCCAGACAACATGCATTTAATGGATGTCAGAATTCATTGAAAAATACATCCCTACCTCTACCAAAACGTAACTAATAACTGATACAACAAAATATAGCGATAATGAACTCACAAACACCCCTTGTCTAGATGAATGGGTTTCTCTGTATCCTTGGAAATGTGAATTAAGATTTTTGCTGTGCTTTTAAAAACCAGTAATAAGTCACTCCAAAATTCATTTGAGGATGAAATGGAACTAATGTCTTTAATTTAATTACAAAATTAAATTCGAAGCTTTTAGCTACCATTTTTGAAACATGGTTAGCAGAAAAAACATGTTTTAAATCAATTAATTTATAATATTAATGCTCTGTAAATTTACATTGAGCACTATTTTGTAAAAAAAAAAAAAAAAAAAAAAAATCTATAAGAACACCGGATTATATATCTTACTGTTCTTTATATATATATATATATATATATATATATATATATATATCTGCAGAGCCAATTTGTAAATAAACTGACAATAACTGCACAGTTGAATTCAAGTTGGTTTAGTTTGTATTTAAATAACATTGATTTGGATCAAGTTATCTGAACTTTAAGGAGGTACTGAAAAATTCTTAGTCTGATCCCATCCCCAAAAGTCAATCCCTTCTTGTTAAAAACAAAAAAATTTTCAGCACTTTCTCATAAAAGCGGCTGACAAATTAGCATTTTCTTTAGTCTTGTAATTACCCAACAAATCAGGGACTAGTTTATTTTCTATTTGAAATTTGGTAATGCATAATCAGTTGTCTTTGATATGCACAGGCTATGCAGACTGCTAAAGTTTATATATATATATATATATATATATATATATATATAGTAGCGTCCAAAACTAAGGGACAAAATTTTAAAACCTAATATTTGTTAGAAATAACAACTGTGAAAAGCTGAAATTTTGACAACTGGTAGTCGTTATCATCCATAATAACATACTAAAATTTGAATCATTTGCAAAGGATAGAAAAAGAATTATAACAATTATTTATTTATTTTCAAAATAGGATCGTCCAAAAGTAAGGGACAAAATTGAGAAAAACAAATTTGAAAATAAATAAATAATTGTTATAATTCTTTTTCTATCCTTTGCAAATGATTCAAATTTTAGTATGTTATTATGGATGATAACGACTACCAGTTGTCAAAATTTCAGCTTTTCACAGTTGTTATTTCTAACAAATATTAGGTTTTAAAATTTTGTCCCTTAGTTTTGGACGCTACTGTATATACACACACTTCTAAGTAGGACAAACAATAAGGGCATTATTAAGAGCATTAAGTGTTTGTGTGTGGGACAGTAGTATTCAAAATAACTAATAATGTTCATAGTGTAAAATAACCACAACGCAAATGGTAGTAGTAATTCTCAATTACTTTATTCTTGCACCAACAAGATACAAATACAAAAAAAATATCTAATCCCCAACCACTCAGCTGTTTATATAACACTGGATGAGGTAACTTATGTATGTCTGCTTGTGGAAGTCCCCTATTACCTAATGAGACCGTCCATTCCTACTCTATATGCACCCTCCCTCTCCTGACCAAAGGACAGATTGATGTGGTCAGTTGAAGGTTTGCCCCAGAATATATGCGCAATTGTCCTCTTATTTGTGAGGATAGAGTTTGAGGTGCCATGTTGGGACAATCAACTGTGAACAAACAAAATTTGGCTTGAGCTTGTAGCCTTGCTAAAAAATGAGTGATTGACTCACCTTCTGCCTGACGTGTGGAATGAAACATCTGCTGGTGAACTTCCTTGTGCAAGCCCTTTACTGCAACAAATTAGTGTGACAAAAGTCTTTCCTCTGTAGCTGAATTTAAGGTTTCAGCCGCTATAAGGTCAAAAAGGAGCCTGTTGACTTCAGGCGAGCATATTATTCTCCATTCATTGCTATTTCAACTGAGTAAGTTTACACATCTCCTCATACCAAGTCCAAGCATCAAGGAATAATGCCTAGTCATCGTCCGTTGCATAGGGTTCAATGACAGGATGGTCCGTTTTTTTGTGTTGGACATTTGTGTTGTGTTAGGGGTTCTGTCCCTCTGAAGGGCAATAATTTCCCTTTGTAGCTCTTTCATTTGTTGCATATTGAGCAATTAAATCAAGTGTTCTGTTTGGTGCAGATGCTATGTCTTATTTTGTTAAGATAGTTCCACATATTCACCAGATCCTGTTCACAGCGCCATGTAAAATAACCACAACGGCAATGGTAGTAATAATTCTCAATTACTTTATTCTTGTACCAATGAGATACAAATACAAAATATATATCTGACCCCCGGTCACTCAGCTGTTTATATAACACTGAATAAGGCGACTTATGTCTGCCTGTGGAAGTCCCCATTATCTAGCAAGACCGCCCATTTCTACTGTACACACAGTCCAATTCTAGTGGCAATTCATCTAACTTTACACAAAATTGAGCAAACATTTTTAAAAAAGATATTGTTCCTAGTAATTTTGCATGTAGAGATTAAAAGAAAGAGGGGGGAGTATGGATATTAAAAGAATAATGCTGTTTTGTTTGAAAAATCCATCATACCGTTTGTAATGTTGGTGTTGATGCAACGGCCGTTGGTTGGCCTCCTTGAACAGTTTGAATGGGAATGGCTTGCGTGTTGGCTGCTTGAGGTAGAGCTGAAAACATCAGTTGCTGATTTGGTGCTCCAATTATCTGCCCCTGGTTTAACTGGATCACCTACAAGTTAACAAATGCAATATATTATTAGACAATATGAAAAGCACAGAAGAATAATAGACACTTCAAGAATGTTTGTAGGTAGTCAAAATTTAGCTAATGAACAACAATCTTACTGAATATTTCTTGTTAATTACATTATTTACTCATTTTACAAAGGAATAATTTATGTAAAAAAATTCTTTTTTTAAGCCAACAATTTCAAAGATTAAAGATACTTGAAATTTTTTGCTTTTACAACTTTAAGATATATTATAAAGATTTTCTAAAATTATGAAAGCGTGTGATGTGTTATTCAATGTTTTAAGGTATTTTATCTAAAATAAACCAAAAAAATATTTACATACATCATTAAAACTATTTATAAATATATTTATGAGATTCACTTTCAATTTCTGCTTACATATGTAAACTTTGAAAATATTTTAAAAATACCTTTACACAGAATTTTTTTTTTAAATACATTTCCAAGTTCATTCATGCATTCAGTGTTTTAATATTCTGAGATATGACAAAGCAATCACTATGTGACAATACTTACAGGATTTTCACAGCAGTAAGACTTCATTTTATTTGAAAATAAAGACATTTAAATACAAATTGAAGATCATCTAAGATAAATGTATTTAAATTATACATCAACATAATTAGTTCTTTTCAGATTAGTCAGCAAATAAATTGCATGCAATATGCATCATGGGAAATATATGATTTTGGAAACGTTTTTGTACAATTCCAATAACTATTGTTTTTATTAAGTAAAAAGCATAGATTTTTAAATTGTATAAATGTACTGTAGTTAAACCAAATAGATAATAAAGGCAAGTAACTGATTTCTTATAGCAGATAGCTTTATTTTGACAGAAAAGCTTCATTATCTTAACGAGATCACACACACCAATACAAGCAGTACTAAATCAAGAAATTGTTGAAATGGAAGGAAGAATTTCATTTTTTAAAAATCCCTTTTGTATAGAATGTGTGAGTTACCTGTGCATTAAGAGAAATCAACAAACTATATTTAAATTATTGCCTTGTCTGTTGCATTAACTTCCGTACAAATTCCCTCGGAATAGATATGGTTTGACTAGAAGGTTAGACTGGACTACTTGAATGCAAACGCATAGTGAGAATAATAAACCACACCATTATCTTACTCAAAAAGTCATAATTCACAATAAATGTAACTTGTGGAGAACCACGATTAACTACATCCTGAATATAGATATGGTAGTGTGGGGAAATAATAAACAGACTTTGAAATGAAATAAAATCAACTATATTATTTTAGTACCTCAATGTTTTATAGTTCACCACTTGTGATCTATTCAAAATATATGTTTAAAATCTGCTATATTTAGAAGACTGCTCAATATCAGAAATAGAGCATTTATAGATATAGACAATATAGGCATAGGAATCAACACAGCATTGAAGTGTAAAACTGACAGTTACCATTGATTTCTATGTCCATACTTTATATATATATATATATATATATATATATATATATATAGGGCAACTGAAAAAAGGTAATTCAATATTTTATATATGATGGACACTCCTATCCTGTAAAAATTATAGATGGGAGAGTCCATATTACATAAAATAGGGAGTTACTTTTCAATCATCCTATATATCACCTCAACCCTCCCATCAATAACTGATATTAACAAATGTTTATATAAGACTGTATCTATGTGAGTTGTTATATTGTATGAAAATGATTGATTATTGATTACAAATCTTGAATTTTAATTTGGAATTTGTAAAAAGAAATTGCTTATAAATTGATATTTTCTTTCAAATGGTTAATACCAAGAATAACTAGCAGCAGATCGTCTTTAAGATGACCATTTATAGAAGTCAGTCTTATTATTTCTGAAGAAACAGTTTAAACAAAAAAAAAAATGACAAAAAAAAAAAAAATCATTATTTGTTAATTAAGTACTGAAATAGTCAAAATTTCTGTTGTTCAGTTTTGTTTCCCACAATGCAATTTTGAAGATTGTATTTTTAAACTTTAGTGTTTAATATATTGAAGCTGAAAAAGAAAGGAAAAAAAAAATTATATAGTCTCCTGTATTTTAGACGTGGGATTGCTCTCCTTACCTGGGGCTGTATGGCTGCTTGGAGCTGGACGGCACTGTTTGGAACATTCTGGATAAAGGCAAGTTGTTGTGGTTGTGAGGACAACAGTGATTGATTTGCAAGTAACTGGAGCTGCTGCTGCTGCTGCTGTTGGTGGTGATGCTGATTGGCATCAACGACCTCACAACCAGCTGTTCCATTCCCAGCATTCACCAAATTTGTAGCAAACTGATAATGCTCCATCTTGTAGACACTTTGACAATGTCTAACCACTAATCCTGCAAATGAACAAAATTTGATTTTTTTCTTAATTGTGAAATGCTAGAATATTCAAAATTGGAGTCATTTTTTTTCTTTGTTTATTATAGCAATATAGAAGATGGTGTTTTTTAGACTCATCAGCTGAAGTAAAGTTTTAAAAAAACTTTTCATATCTCTAAAATCTTAGACCATCTTTTTGATTTGTGTTAAGGAAAAGAATAAAAATTATATATATATGTAAAAAAAAAAAAAAAATCTGTGGGTAAGTAATCCAAGTATATCCTATTAATATAAAATATTAGAACTGATCCACAAAAGAGAGTTCAATATAATTTTATTATAGAGCATATAAGTGAATTCCTATTAAATAGATTGGATATATATATATATATATTATACATACATGCGCACACAGGTTGGCGTTGACTTATGACTGATGCAGCTTACAACTGTTCAACTTTACAACTACAAATTGTTATGTCTGGCCATGACTGCCCTATGTCTGGCAGTATGAGTGTTTCCCAGTTTGGTGTATGACAATTTCCGTCCCAGCTCCCAGCAGCGCTAGTATTCCTTCATGCCCCTCAAACAAAGTGTTAGTGAAGCCTCGGTACAACAGTTTTTCCCGAAATAGTAAAACTGGCAAAGTCTCTTTTCTTTGGATTGTGAAATGGAAAATGTCAAGGATTTTTTAGACCTGGAGAATGTACAAATGAAGAGCTAATCACATTGGAAAAAGAAAGAGTGAAAAAAGAACCAGAGAAAAAAAGAGAAGGAGTAGCCAGAAAGGAAATTTACCACCAAAGGATTATCAGAAAGTTTATCTCTACTGAATAAACTCCTTCCACGTTTTGAAGGAACAAGCTCAACAAAAAGATTTGCAAGGTTTGAACGGATGACACATGATGTGTTTTGTCCATATTCTGAAATTTATGTGGAGAAAAAGAAACAAACAATTCTGACAAAGCTCATGATGTTTGTGAAGAAGACAACCCTTCTGGCTACTGTAGGCCCTTCCTCAGCCGACAACATTGACGATCCACAAGCACCTGTGGCTAATGTCTTGTATTTGTATATATTTTGGTATGTTTTGCAACTAAAATGTTTTGTCTTTTGCAGCTGTATTTTGTTTTTTTTTGCATGTTTAGTAAATGTTAAACCAACTGTACTATAGTATGCAGTATTTAACCTAACATAAAAATAAGAAACCAAATATGTAGAGAGATGATACAAATGGTATCAAATATAGAGACTATAAAAATTATAAAAATACAATAATGCCTAAAGATAAAAAGATTGGAAAATTAATTACAGTCCAACTTATGACCAGATCGACTTACAACATTATGGCCGAAGTCAACAACAACCTGTATTTAAATTCATCCTCTATATTAAATAGATACATTGTGATTTATAAAATTTGTACCTCATTACATAAATGTTTTTCTACCAAAAAGTTTTCAGCTTGATAATTTAAGAAATGGCTTTTCTGACATTTCACTTTCTGAGAATTACAAATGCTATAAAACTAGGACAATTCTAACAAAGTAAAATTGCCCAAATAATTTGCAGCAATGTAAGATTTCATTTTGATGCAGAGGATGCTGTGGAAGATAGCAATCTCTCTAAAATATCTTTTCAATCAGTTAGAATTCACAGAACATTAAAGTTTATGCTTTAGACATCAATTAGTATTATTTGTCTGGGATTGAGTGATGGATTTACTAAGGAGACCATCTCTGTAGGTTTGGCTTGTATACTTTTCCTCTGTTAGTACACAAAGTCTGAGTGGAAATGATACCACCATTTAATATTAATGAAAAAGTTGCCTCTATTGGACAATGGTGTCTTATTGCTCCTTAAAGTACTCCCTTTTAGGATCCCACATACTGAATCCAAGCTTCCCTTCTACTTTTCAAAATAATCTGAAAACACTTCCTTTGGGACTAGCATCTACCTTATCATATTCTCTTTAATTTCACCTATAATCTGAAAAGAAAGAGCCAAATATGAACTGTAGTGGAACTGAAAGACCCTATGTGGATGATACAATACTTTGCATATACATACACACAAAAATATTCTGCACAATCTATGAGTGATGAATGCACAATAATTAAAATGACTTGATATTTTCTGAACTGTCCATGAAGTCCACAGATTTTCTTTTAATTTTAGCATTGTCAATTGACCAATTTCAGCTGACACATACACATTTAAGAACAAGTTTGAAAGCCTCAGTACCAAAGGTTTATTTGGGCTTCAGTATTTATTAACTTTCAGTAATTTTTCTCAGAGTCAGAAAATAAGTTATGGACAGGGGACTATTTGAGTGCCAGTTACTTTGAGTCATTGCAGTATATGAATGAATATTGTTCTTCTCATACTTCACTGGGGGACACACATACAGTACATGGACAGGCACATACACAAATGTACACATACACTATGAAGAAAAATAACTTGCACCAATGAAAAGTGCATATAAAAAAAGAAAAATTGAGAAGTATAAAACAGTCAATTGCCAATACCTCCTGACGAGTGGACGGTGTGATCCCCGGAGAGTCCATCTACAAAATTCTGGAGTTGTGATCCTGAAGGTAACATCAATCCGCTAAGTTACAAACCTTTTACTTGTATTACTTTTAATAACATATGTATATATAGAGAATAAGTTCATAGTGTTAAAAATACATTTCTTTTTATCTAAGTAGCTTTTATACTTTGTAATATTAAATCAGAAAATTTGTGCTTTGTTTTTAGTGACAAGACAAAAACAAAGAAAGAAATGAATTCATAACAAAAACAAATTTTTTTAGAGAAAAAAATATCAAGAAATCTGTTTATATTTTAATTCAATTTGAGAATAAGATTAAAGCCATTTTAATACAGAGGGCAATAGAAACACCTCCCACATAATAGTAAGATATTAGCTAGATGAAGACACTATTGCCACTAATGGTTTACCATTATGTGGGATGTATTTCTGCTGCACATTGTATTTATATTAACAGTTTCTTTCCAAGAAAAAAAAAGTTTAACAGTGTTGGTTTATATTTTTGACATTTTATAAAGAATTAATTTTATTTCTATTACAGTACTTACTATAGCCTTTAATTAGCAATTAGTAAATCATTGTTAGAGTTAAGTAGTAGTGTATCAAAATAGAATTACAGGTGGCATGAAGTGTAATCTAGGATTATTAATTAAATAAAATTCAAGTAGAATTAATTCATTAATAGTTATGAAAAGATTATAAATGAATTCTCCAGGATTTGAAAGAAGAGAGCATCGAAAATCTGGAACTTTAAAGAAAAACTCCTCCCAAACTGAGAAAACAAATAGAAATATTGGAAACTGACATGAAAAGACATTTTTTCTTAGTAATTTCAAAATTTTGAACAGCAACAGTTAATGTAAAAAAATGAATGAAATCCACAATAAAAATATCTAATTTTATTTATTTTCTTAAAATTGAAATAAATATCTACTTGTGTGTAAAAGAGGATAAGTCAACCCTTTTGAAACAGCTTCTGGGATATGGATAGCAGAAAATATTTGAAATTTGTCAGTGGGCAATTCAAAAACTTCAAATAGCCCATTTTTAAAACTGAGAGGATGATAATGACATTTCATTTACTACTGTCATATACAGGTCTTACATCTGTATGCACGTATAGAGAGCTTCACTGAAAATTTATATCTATATAGATATTTTCTTTTAAATCTGAGGATTTCAAAAAATAATGTTTACCATCAAAATCACTATTCTCCAGGGAACATTGTAAAAGTCATTATGAAAAGCACTCTCTATAGAAAACATTTCTATATCTAAAATATTCCTGACATCAACAGTGATATTTCTTTACAGATTAGTCCAGCACTGTTTTAGAAAGTTTTAACTAACATGAATTATTCATGTAAAATTAATTAATTATTCATGAGAATGTCTCAGAAAGCAATTTTTAAATTATAAATGTGTCTATTTTTACAGGCACATATGCGAATATAAAAGAAAGTAAATGTTTTTTAAAACTTCTTTGCTATTGCTTTCTTTGACATAGTATGAATGATTTATAAACATCTATTCAACTATCACTATGTATGAAGAGTTCTCAGCCTGACCAACTTCCCTCAAATCTGACCAAACATTAGCTATTTTGAGGAGGTAATCTTGGTTGATTGATTGGTTCATTTTCTGTGGCTTATCAACCCATTGCAGATTATTTAAAGCCAGAAAATATTTTTAGATTGTAAGAATTTTTTTGAGATAATAGTGTAGTGATACAAGTCTTACTAATTAACCCTTAGCTAGGAGAGAAGTAGATTTGTACCTTTTCCAAAGGTTTTGCGCATAGGTAAATACAAGGAACACAATGAGAATTGGAACTCAGCTCTCCAATTAACAATTCCAAAGCATTATTCATTACACCACCTGCACATCCAAACTTAAAGTATCTAGTATTCCCAAATGATCACCCTGCTAGGTACTCAACAGGTTTGACATTGCTGAACTTTGGTGATTGTATGGGAATGGTGTTTCAATGTGATGTGGATGTCAGTCAAGGGGTAATCTCTTCTTGGTCAGGCTGAGGACTTTTCAACAAACAACTTTTGCATGTATTTGTGAAAATTAACTCTTCTTACTTAAATAATCATAACTATTGCTATATTTTTTTAGAATGTGTGCAAAATTTTAAAGTTTTATTATAATTGAAATTATTGACATCTGTGGTGAATGAATAGTCTCAATATGGTGAAAAACCATCACTCTTTATTGAGGACAGATCAAAGAATTAGCCAAGCAGTTTTCATACAATTCAAGATTCCATTAATGATGGAAAGAGAAGAAAAAGAATAATGTTATTAAAATTAAAGAAGCGTGAAACTTCATCGAGATTCTGCACAGCTATACAAATACAGGAAAAAAAAGATTAAAAAAATGATTCAAAATAAACAAGATATTGGTTACACATTTATTG